TTCTTGTTTGCTGTATGATTGGTGGCAGTGGTGAAACAGGGATTTTCTTCATTCTCTTTCGTACTCAATGTATAGTAGTAGGTGGTTGTTGTTTCTGAGGGCAGGTTTTTAATGTACTTCTTCTTCTCTTTGGTGTGAGATGTTTACATGACTTGAATGATCCGTGTTTCATTTGTAATCTCTTTTGATTTCTCTCTCTCTATGTAAACATATATACTACTTTGGCCGTGTTAGAAAAACCATGAAACATATGTAAAAGTATATACTTATTGCAATTTTACAGCTTTCTTGATTATGTAAAATCAGGAGTGTTGGTCCATAAATCATAATTTGTTTGATTTTGAACTTTGTTTGATTTTGAATTTTGTTTGAGAATGTAAACTTTGTTTTTTTTTTCATTTTTAAAACTTACAAAAATGAAGAACTTTTTTTTTATGATTCATAATTTCTTTTTCCATTTATATGATTATACTTGAATTTAAAAAAATATGTAAACTTTGATTTTAATTGATTTACAAAGAATTAATGAATTATTGATTTACAAAAATAACTAAATGGGCTAACCCTGGTACCAGCCCTAACCCTTTAATAAAATAGGGCTAAAATAGGGTTGGGTTAAAATAGGGCTGGGCTTATAATAAACAAAAGCGGGCCCAACCCTAACCCGCTAGACAACATCCCTAACTATGATAACCAGAGTGGTATGGACGCTGAGTTGAGGAGAATTCGTGAGGAAGAAGGGATCCCTGATCTTGAAGAAGATTATAATGGAGGAGAAATGAATCAAGAAGAAGAAGTAGAATATGTTAAAGAGGATGATGAATGCAAACATGAGAATGAGAAGGACATGAACTACATTGAGGTTACAAAAGATGATGCAAAAGGAGAAGAGATACATGGCTACACTGTGTATTTGAACCAAAGGCCAACGAGTATTGGAGAAGTTATTAAAGATCTTGAAGATCAGTTTGCAACCATATGTACCACCTCTGCTAATGAAGTTTCCGGTTTACTCGAAGCTAGTGAAGTGCAATACACAAACTCATCAAGACTCTTGATCAGCTCTGAAAGCAGCAGTGTCATTTCAGAAGAGTCTCGTGTGTTACCTGGTCATCAAGCAACATTGGACCGACTTTACGTGTGGGAGAAGAAACTCTATGATCAAGTCAAGGTAATGTAATAAACTTTTAACAGAGAGTCCTGTTCACTCTCTTTCTAAGGTTAATTAGTTTGGATGTTTGTGATGACAGTCAGGAGAACGTGTACGTATTGCATATGAGAAGAAACGTTCGAAGCTAAGGAACCATGATGACTCTTCCTCAGTTATAATCACAGAGCTATACATTAAGTTGAAGGTTTCTATAAAATCAATAGAGTCTATCTCTGCAAGGATAGAGACTCTTCGAGATCAAGAACTGCTTCCACAGATTCTTGAGCTTCTTCAAGGGTATATATGTTGTGGCTCTGAAACGTCTCCTTTCTTGATTTCTCTTTTACTAGTCACTGATAATAACATTTTTACAGATTAGCTAGGATGTGGAAAGTGATGGCAGAGTGTCACCAGAGACAGAAGAGAACGTTGGATGAAGCCAAGATATTACTTTCATCAACTTTGCCTCATCACAAGAAGATCAACACTGGATCGGCTTTAAACTTAGTGGCTCAGCTACTAAACTGGAGAGCTTGCTTCCAAGCATGGATCAGGTCTCAAAGATCATACGTGTTGTCTTTAACAGGATGGTTACTAACATGTATCAGATGCGACCCTGACCCAGAGAAAGTCAAATTATCACCGTACCCTCACCTGATCTTTGAAGTCTGCATAGGATGGTCAAGGCTGCTCAAGGGGTTGAACGAGAAGCATGTTGTGGACAAAATATACTTCTTTGCCTCTTGCATGGGTTCACTCTTTTCTCTAGAGCGCAAAGAAGAGCCATACTCAGGAACAACAGAGAGCATGGAGCTTGATGAAGCTGCTAAGTTGGAGAAGATGGATGAGATTGCAGTTAAAGTAGTCTGCAATGGAATGTCAGTTGCAGTGAGCTCACTAGCTGAATTTGCAATCACCTCAGCTGATGAACACTCAAAGCTCGTTAACCACACTACAGAGCAGCAAGTGAAGTTGGATAACGTGGAGTACAAGAAAGAAGAACAATCAGATAGGGTTTGAATATATATATATATATATATATATATATATATATATATATATTTATGAAATTTTAAATTTATTAATCTTCAATAGAAAGAATAATTATGTACATGAGAAGTAAAATAAAAATGTGGAATGACAATTTTTTTTTCTTTTTAGGCATTTTCTATTTAAATAAAAATTCAGTGGTTGTTTGAAAAGGTAAGAAAGAGATTATATGTAAAAAAATTACATTAGAAATGTGGAATGAGAATTTCTGAAACAAAAATAATCTAGGATGAAACTTATTATGAAACAGAGGGAGTAATATATATGTACATAAAATTTTAGTTTTTAAAAGATTTTTTATCTATTTCATTGGTTAAAATAAATTAAATAAAATTTTATTAAATTAAGAGAAATCTTTGTTAGGTATATAATTATCAAAACTTATAACTAAATAATATTTCTAAAATATTTAGATATTAAAAATATAATGGTATTTGGATTAGAAAACTACAATTTATTTTAAATGCATAAAATCTTGAAGAATTATTTTAGTAATAAAGATTATATAATTATAAAATAGAATTAAATAGTATTTCGAAATGGTAAAGTATCATTATATTTTATTTCTACTATTATGTTATTTATTGTTTATTAATGATAATATGTGAGTTATTACCATATATAAAAAACTTACCAAAAATATAAATTAACAATAAATATGCATGTTTATGTTACAATTAACTCTAAACCATGTCATTTATCCCATGTCATAATTTTTCTTTGAAAATCAATGGGGGTGATGACACATCGAAAATCAGTTCACAAATAATGTCTAGAAGATGTTTAAGTTTGTTTTGTATATAAAAGATTGATGTTATACTTTTAATTAACGGATTTTGCTTTAAAAATAAAAAAAAATAAATTAAAATGTAAAAATGTAAGATTGAATTTAATGGGAAACAAATAATTCATTAAACTATTTAAAAGTAAAATCCAAAAGTAATACATAGAAGTAAATATTTTTTTTTTTTAATATGTGTGAATAACCTTATACATCATACATTTGTATCAAGAGGGAAAGTTAATTAGTTATAATAACAAATTATTAATTATTTTAATTAAAATATGATTTTTTTTAGTGAATAGTGAATTAGGTAAGTTTTTATTTTTTTTAAATGACAAAAAATAATTAGTGATGAAACCTAGAAGTAGTTAATATATTAATGATACAATCTGTAATAAAACACATTAGAAAAGATAATAAATATTTAGAATCCCCACTCATTTCTTTCATTGTTATCATAATGCAGAAGATATCTTAAGAGGGCTGTTAGTGGAAATAAAATTTATAAAGAGTTTGTTGATTTTTAAAATTGAGAGACTATTTGGAAAGAATTAGAAATAATTTTGTATATTGTGAAAATTTAGGAAACAAATTATTATAATGACTAACAAAAGATTTTGTTCAGAATTATAAAATCATCACCCCAATAATACTAGATTTTATTAAGAATATAAAAAATCTATCAATCAATAACAATAAAGTCTTCAAATTTTTACAACTACTATAAATGTAACTCCCATTAACACCCCTAAAGCATCTCTTGTCTTCACAAAATCATAATTTAAGACAAAGGCACGTTTGTGTGTCTTTAATTGCGTTTTAATTACATGGTAAAATCTGATATCACATGTTCTTAGTTCTGCAGTTATCCTCCAACACTTATCTGAGCTTTTGAAATTTGAAAATGGGATGTTCTAATTCAAAGTTGGGTAGTTACGATGACCCCGTTAAGATCTGCAAAGACAGGAAACGCTTCATCCAACAAACAGTGGAACACATGACTAACTTTGCTTCTGCTCACACTGCTTATATCAAGTCTCTAAGAAACGTTTCAAACGCTTTACGTGAATTCCTCCAAGAAGACGTCGAGCCTCACGAGTTCAAAACTAGTTACTTGATATCTAGAGGAACCAGACCCCTCCAGGTTCAAGAGACACCACCTGAGATTTACAAGGTTGAGAGTTACGAAGCAGATGGTTTCTTAGAGATGAACATACACATGAACCCACCGAACTCTCCACAGAGCTCTCAGTGGAACGACTTCTTTTGGAATCCCTTAACGTCATATGAATATAACGGATACAACTATTATAACGAGAGTGCTATGGAAGATGAGATGAGGAGAATCCGTGAGGAAGAAGGGATCCCTGATCTTGAAGAAGATGATGGTCATGATCATCATAACATGAAAGCATCAGAAGATTGTAATGGAATAAAGATGAATCAAGAAGATGAAATAGAACATGTTAATGAGGAGAAGGAGAGGGGCATTGAGGTTACAACAGATGATGGTCATGATCATCATAACATGAAAGCATCAGAAGATTGTAATGGAATAAAGATGAATCAAGAAGATGAAATAGAACATGTTAATGAGGAGAAGGAGAGGAGCATTGAGGTTACAGCAGATGATGCAAAAAGAGAAGAGACAAATGTGTGTTTAAACAGAAAGCCAACGAGCATGGGAGAAGTTATTAAAGATCTTGAAGATCAGTTTACAACGATATGTAACTCTGCTAATGAAGTTTCAGGTTTACTTGAAGCTAATAAAGTGGAATGCACAACCTCATCAAGGCTCTTGATGAGCTCTGAAAGCAGCAGTGTCATTTCAGAAGAGTCTCGTGTGTTACCTGGTCATCAAGCAACATTGGACCGACTTTACTTGTGGGAGACGAAACTCTATGATGAAGTCAAGGTAATGTAAATTAAAATTTTAAGACTCTCTAATTAACACTCTTTTCTCTATAATTAAAGTAGTTTGGATGTTTGTGATGACAGTCAGGAGAACGTGTAAGGATTGCATATGAGAAGAAATGTTTGGCTCTAAGGAAACATGATCTGAAAGGAGATGAGTCTTCCTCTATTGATAAAACAAGAGTTATGGCCAGAGATCTAGACATTAAGTTTAAGGTTTATATACACTCAATAGAGTCTATCTCTGCAAGGATAGAGACTCTTCGTGATCAAGAACTGCTTCCGCAGATTCTTGAGCTTCTTCAAGGGTATGGTGTGGCTTAGAAACGTTTCTCTTTTGACTAGTAAGTAACTAACACTGATGATAACGTTTTACAGATTAACTAGGATGTGGAAAGTGATGGCAGAGTGTCATCAGATACAGAAGAGAACGTTGGATGAAGCCAAGCTATTACTTTCATCAACCTTGCCTCATCTCAAGAAGATCAACATTGAGAGGTTAGCTGGATCGGCTTTAAAGTTAGTGACTCAGCTACAAAGATGGAGAGCTTGCTTCCAAGCATGGATCACCTCTCAGAGGTCATACGTGTGTTCTTTAACCGGATGGTTACTAAAATGTATCAGAGGCGACACTGACCCAGAGAAAGTCAAATTACCAACGTCCCCTTACCAATTATTTGAAGTCTGCATAGGATGGTCAAGGCTCCTCAATGGGTTAAACGAGAAGCATGTGGTGGAAAAACTTGACTTCTTTAACTCTTGCATGGGTTCAATCTTTACAACAGAGGGCATGGAGCTTGATGAAGTTGCTAAGTTGGAGAAGATGGCTGAGATTGCAGTTAAAGTAGTCTGCAATGGAATGTCAGTTGCAGTGAGCTCACTAGCTGAGTTTGCAATCACCTCAGCTGATGAACACTTGAAGCTCGTTAACCACACTTCAGAGCAGCAAGTAAAGGTGGATAACGTGGAGTAGAAGAAAGAAGAATAATCAGATAGGGTTTAAATATATATAATATTATTTGTCAACTATTAGAATCCTTTTATTCATTATACAGCTGATCTCTATATTATATGGTTTCCATGACCAAACCAGTTTAAAAAAGAAATGAAAGAATAATCAGATAGGGTTTGAAAATATTATTATCATTTGTCAACTATTACAATCATTTTATTTTATTATATTATGGTTTCCATGACCAAACCAGTTTAATAAAAAGAATAATCAGATAGGGTTTGAAAATATTATTATCATTTGTCAACTATTACAATCATTTTATTTTATTATATTATGGTTTCCATGACCAAACCAGTTTAATAAAAAGAATAATCAGATAGGGTTTGAAAATATTACTATCATCTGTCAACTATTCTAATTTATTATATTATGGTTTCCATGACCAAACAAGTTTAATAAAAAGAATAATATCAGAGAGGGTTTGAAAATATTATTGTCATTTGTCAACTATTACAATCATTTATTTTATTATATTATGGTTTGCATGATCAAAACTAGCTTACAGTTTAAACTAGTAAAGGCCTGTCCATATTATCAGCTAAATTCACAAGCTGAGATATGCTGAAGGGAGAAGTTATGTTTCCGTTAAACGCTGAGGTAGCTGTCATAGTATTAATCGTTTCCGTGGGATGCACGTTATCCCAAAATATGTATTTGGTTCGGTCAGGACAAACCGGTCTGTTTTGCGCACAGTTCTTCACCCGGGTTAACCGTACAGCAACTCCTATCACCAACAGTAATCCCTACAATAATTCAACAGGAAAACACAATGAATTAGGGGTGGGCACAATTAACTGTTACTCGGTTAATATTCGTTATCCGCCCCGTATTTTCCTTGTAAATACAAGTACTTGTAATAATCAAGGCAAGTAACAAGTTCAAAATTCTAACTACTCGTAAATACAAGTCAAGTATCAAGTCTTAGATTTATTTTAACTATTTGACTTGTTTCGACTCGTTACTTGATTTTTAAAATATTTTATTACATTTATATTGTTATTTCAACTAATTTAATACTTATGGAAAATATCTTAATTTCTAAAATTATGTATACAACATATGTATAAACAAGATAGGAGTATATTCTTGATATTAGTAAAAGAGATTATAGTTTTTAATTTTCTAGCATACATGACTAAATAATTTTTTTTATTTTTAATCAAACTCTATTTTTCTAGGTTGTAATAGAGAAGTGAAAAAAAATTGATATAAAATACTCCTGGGATCATTGAAATGAGATTTATTTTATAAAAGTAAAAACTTCATAAATATTACACATATATAAATAAGTACAAGTCTAACGAGTTACTTACAAGTATCATGAAAATAGACAAGTCTAGTTTGACCAAGTATTTGATATTAACAAGTACAAGTACAAGACAATTTTTTTAATACTCGGACGACGGGACAAGTTGAGTTACAAGTATAGAGAAAATCCCGGGTACTTGCCCCGTGCCCAGCCTTACAATGAATGATTGCAATTTATTCATCAATGTTCAAGAATTCGCTACCTACACCATCATAAGGAATTATGCCAGCAAAACAAATTTAGAAAAATCAAGTATGAAGTTTAAAAAATCTTTTCTCCCAAAAAAAAAGTTTTTAAAAATCATTTCGCTTATAACTAATTTTCTGTCTATGTGGATCTTCAGGGGCCGCCTCGACCTATTTTAAAACATAGTTTCTTGATTAAAAATTTCATGATTTGTATTGAAGTAACGTATTACCTAGAGCGACGAAATCTGTAGTTCCAGAGAAGAGGTCAACGTAAGTGAACTTAGCACTAGAAAGTTTGTTGTTTAAGTCTGTGACAAGGGCTTTGAGTTTATTATTGAACAAATCCACGGCTTGATTCACTTCTTCTGCGCAGCCAACGCCACCACCATGGCTAGCAACAACACGTGGTATACACCCAATCTTCCCGATTCCAAACAAGGCCACATTCCTTGCTCCTAGTAGATACAATTTCTAAAGCACACGTATATAAATAAACCACACATTAATTTATATTTGGCAGAAACAAAAAAGCACAACTAAAAGAAAATAGGGGTACTATGCTGGATTTTCTGACCGAATTTTTTCTGTCGGAAAATTTTAACAAAACTCCAATATTTTTTTTGATAAAAACGTGTTGGGTCTTCGTTAGAACTTTTTAGCAACAACAAAGTTATTGTATAATATTTTGACGAAATGTCAGTGAAAAATCTGTCGAGATTAATAATGAAACCAGTTGGAATTAGGTTGTGAAACAATTTTAGGACGTGAAAAAAAAATATATTGAACCCCAATGGATTTCTCACAGTTTGCATTTGTCAAATTGTTTTATCTAGCGTATATAGACCAGGTTTATTTGTATATTTGTGTGAAAATAGTTTCTAGATTCTGTGAAAGGATAAAAATTTAAAATCAAAGGATATTGTGTATATCTAAAACTTGTTGTCATCATTGGAATATTTCTCCATATGTTTTAGATAACAGATGAATTATGTTTTGTTTCTTTCTCACTCTAAATAATACTTACTTTCAAATGAACATTGTAGAGGTGTATAAGAGTTCAGCAAACTCTTCCGGAGTATACTGTTGAGGTAATCATTGCTTCCTATGTTGATCGTGTATAGACATCGCCGTAGCTGACTCCGTGGCACCGCCACTTTTATAATCGCCGACCGGTGGTTGTTTATTTGCTTTCTCAAACTGATTATTTCACCCTGTATATACACATCAATTTAGTTAGTGCAAATCTCATAAATATTTTTTTCACAAAATAACATTAATTTTTTTTTTAAATAACAACTATTAATTGATAAAAAATAATAAAATATTCTAAGTTCTAGACTCTAATTCTAATTGTATCCCATCTTATTATATAAAGTTTGGTTTTTCAAAGTTAATAATTAACACGATTGTGACACATGGTAATTATATATTTAAGATGTTGACATGTGTTAAATTATATCAAAACTAAAATATATATATTTAGATAATAACAAAACAAGTTTTGTTAAAAATAATTAGAAATATTATTTAAGGACAATTTTCTAATTTTAAAATATTGAACAAGGTATATTTGCAAAAAAATATTTGTTAATAGTTTTTCTTTTAATATTGTGACATGTATTAAAATATCTCATGATTACAAATATATATACTAAAATAAAAACGAATTTTAAAGAAAATATAATTGTAAAAATTGTTTAAAAGTAAAAAAAGAAAGTAAAGGATATTTAACAATAGTTTTCCTTTTCACAAATTTTATTATATAAAGCTTGGTTTTTCAAAGTTACTAATTAACACGATTGTGACACATGGTAATTATATATTTAAGATGTTGACATGTGTTAAATTATATCAAAATTAAAATATATATTTAGATAATAACAAAACAAGTTTTGTTAAAAATAATTAGAATATTATTTAAGGGCAATTTTCTAATTTTAAAATATTGAACAAGGTATATTTGCAAAAAAATATTTGTTAATAGTTTTTCTTTTAATATTGTGACATGTATTAAAATATCTCATGATTACAAATATATATACTAAAATAAAAACGAATTTTAAAGAAAATATAATTGTAAAAACTGTTTAAAAGTAAAAAAAAAGTAAATGATATTTAACAGTAGTTTTCCTTTTCACAAATCCTAAACAAAAAAAATATTTGTAAAAAAATTATTTAATACCAGTTTTCCTTTTCGAAGTTTCTAAAGAATAGATAATTATAAAATATTATTTGATAGTTTTTTTCCTTTAAGAAATTTGACATGTATTAAAATTTCTCATGAGATATATAAGAAGATATTAAAAACGAATATATATATTTAGATAATAACAAAAACAAATTTTGTAAAAACTAACTAAAAATGTTATTTAAGAGTAATTTTCCATTTTTAAAGTCATACACAAAATATATTTTCAAAACAATACTTGATAGTAATTTTCCTTTTAATATTGTGACATGTACTAAATATCTTATGATAAAAATATATGCTAAGATAAAAAAATTTGAGTAAAAAAATAATTTTAATTTTTTTTTAATTTAAAAAAATAAAATAAAGGAGGTTTAACTGTAGTTTTTTTAAATCCTAAATATAAAAATATTTATTAAATCCCAATTTTCCTTTTTTAAAATTCTAAAGAATAGATAAATGTATAAGATTATTCAATAGTAATTTCCTTTTACAAATTTGACATGTTAGTCAATGATTTTTTTAAATTACGATTTTAATATAGGAAAATTAAAATGAAAGTGTCTTTTACATTTTTTGGTCTAAGACTTTTAAAAACAATAATTACTATTAACTATTTATTTACCGTTGTCTTTTTATTTCTTTACGATTATCTTTTTTCACGATTTTTAGTAAAGGAAAATTAGTATTAAATAATTTTTTTGTAGAAATTGGTTTTGGTATAGGATTTGTAAAAACAAAAATTACTATTGTTTTTCTAAAAAAAATTGTGTTAATATGAGAATAATTGTAATTATTTTTGGTTTATGATCTTTTAAATTAGGATTTAAATAAAAGAAAATTAACATAAAGCTGTATTTTACATTTTTTTTGGTTTAAGATTTTTTAAAAGGATAATTACGATAAAATATTTTTCTACATTTATCTTTTCTTTCTGATTTTAGAAAAGTAATATTTTTATGAAATTAATTTTTGTATAGGATTTGTGAAAACGAATCTTTCTATTTATTTCTAATCATGAGATATATTTTATACATTTCACAATCTTGAAAATTTAATAATCATGTATCATGATCATGTTAATTAGCAACTTATGATGAATATATATGTTAAGATAAAAAAAAACTCAACTTTGAAGAAAAAAATAATTTTTTAAAAAGTAAAAAAAAATAAGTAAAGGGTGTTTAACTATAGTTTCTCTTTTTGTAAATCCTAAATAAAAAGAAATATTTATAAACTAATTTATTTATCCCAAACCCATGTTTATATGTGT